TTTAAATATTTCCTTTCAGTCTGCAGATGGAAGTAAAGTGGAATGAGTATCTTTAAAACGGATGAAAATGTGTGTTTCTGCAATGGGACAAGTATGGTATGTGTTTTTGTGTTTATGTGAAAAAGTAGTTTAATACAAGGCTTCATATCCAAATTTGTGGAAGTGATATATTCAAGTAAAATATCCTTTCAGAAGAGATAAAAATAGCATTGCATTTTCACATTAACATTTATTTGTTAAAACAATACCATACCAAAAATCTTTTCCACTATTCTGTTTGATAAACTAAAATAGGATGTTACCTATAATTGGATGAATCATCAACTTTGGGAATTGGCATTAATTTCCTTTATTGTGACAAGTGACACTGGTGTGAGAGAGATCTCAGGAATACCAAATACTTCTAAGTTGTTAGTCATTGAAACGTAATAATGGTGGGGAAAACTAGGGATTGTAAAACAGGTATGAGACTTACCTTGTTTAAAATGTAACGTCAAAGCTTCTTCAAATTAACCAATATAAAAGACTTAAATTAATAAAATAAACCTAGTTATATTTCTGTTGGAAAAAGCCACTTTCTACCAATAACTATGTGTGCTTTGGGACAGAAATAAATATTAGTTAGAGTTCTTGAGATACTTGGTATACTGATGTCACATATTGCTTCTCCAATTGTTTAGCCAAAAAGAGAAATACTAAAGTTTTAGGGTTGTAGTGCTTCTTCCTTAACTTGGTTGTCCAGTATTATTAAAACATGCTGAATTACTAAATTAACCTCATATTAAGTAACACAGCTGTTAATATTTGCTTTTCTCTTCAGTGAGTCAGAGTATATATCTAGAAGACCATAAGGTGCTTGCTGCTATAGTTGCCTTTGTCAAATCCTCTTCTTTCCTCTCCTTCAGTGATGTGTAATCTTCTGTTGTCACTTGGAAATCGCACATTGCTTTGTCTTCAGTCCTGTATTTTGCAGAGCCATGGTGTTCAGATGTTGGTGTAGCGGTGCTCTCTATCTGGTGTGAGGCTTTGTGATGTTTTCTTAGCTTCTGTAGAAAGGCTGACTAGCACCAGGGTGATAATGAGGCTTTTTGCAACGTGTTAATTAAATTTTATAAATGTGTGTTGAGTAAATCCAGTGGAACCGGTTTCTGAAGTAAAATACAAACACTACGCACTCAGACTTCCTCCATAAACAAATGATTGTGATTCATCTTGCAGTATTTCATGAACTGTATGTTTCTTTCCTGGTTAGTTGTCTGTTCAATGAACACAGGTTGGCTTGCACACTCTCCATTTCATGTTGTATACATTTCGTGTATGTAACAGGCACTAAAATGATAGGTAAAATAGTTTTCTATTTTTGTTTCTTCTTTGAAGATTCCTTTTAAGGCGATGCTGAGATTCTCAAGAGCGAACAATTTGTTAAACATGAGAGTGGAGTTGATAAAACTGTACCAGCAGAGATGCTTATTTTCATATTTGGCACTGGTGTTTCCTACTTGATGGCAATCTACAAATATTTACATACTGCAAAAGTAAATGAGTTATTGTGGTAGCTGTTGCCGTTTCTTGCTTTGACAGGAAGGAGTCGACTCTCTGTGTCAGAGTTCAGTCACAGACTGTACACACAGGTGTGGAGTGCTGCACACACAGCTTCTGCTCCAGCTGCCATTTTGTCATCTTGGATGAAGTCTGTTCAGACCGCCTTCTCTTTTTTTGTTCCTGCTTATTGTGCTTTAGAGTATTAACTGATAGTTAGAAAGGAGCATTTCCATTTGTCATTTATTTTTCAGGGTCAGTGTTTCAACAGCTGACCTGAGCTGCATATGTGTTGTCCTTAAGACTTGTTTTGTACAGAGCATGCAAGAACTTGTGTGTTTCATACTTTGTTTTGCAAGGAGAGATCAGAGGGCCCTATGCAAGGTGGTCAGTGTTGTGACAGGTACTGCACAGACTGAACTCGGGGCAGGGAAGGGATAGTCTGGGTTAGAGGAAGATGGATGTGCTGCCTACGTCCCACTGAAGGTGTGTGTTTTCTTCTGTGGAGCTGGAATAACTGAAGAGTCTGGAGGCCTATCCGTCACTAACGTTAGCCAGGAAAGGTCACCCAGGCCATGAGGGAGCAGATCCTGTTGACACACTAGATCTGGGAGGAAGAGGGCTGAAGTTCTGTATTTGTGGTGTGGTGTGGCTGGCCTGGTGGTCTAGGAACACTTCCTGCATTTCGTTAAATGCTATATATGAATTCGATACTCTTAACAGGCACTATAACAGCTGGATGAGCTCTCTTGCATAGTAATAGTATTGTTTTAAAGCAAGTGCCAGATGTAGAGGCTTATTGCCCACAGGCACTGATCTGTTCAGCTGCTAATATCAGCTTTCTACTCTCTTGTTCTGTCTGTAGCACAGTTTTTCCCCTTGCTCCCTGAGATGTTATCAGCTTCAGCAAACTGGTGCCTTGTCACTCTTGAGGGCATGTTGTGGTGCTGATGGTCTCAGTTAAGTTACAGTTAGATTTGCCCACCTTCCCTTCCCATGGTATATCTGGGTTTACTTCTGTGCTGTGTCACATCCATAGACATCTTCCCTGAGCTGCTTGGAAAAAATCACTGTGCTTCTGGGATGTTCATAACAAATCTGCAAATTGCTGGCTGGGCTGTGAGTTTAACAGGATGGGTGCTCATTAGAGGTTTCAAATTAACATGCTGACAAGCTGGAGCTGCTGCATTGCACCTGTTGTGTTGGTGTTGCTGCTGTTGCAGCTGCTGCCTCTATTTGTGTTCCTTGCTGCAAAGTGTGCATCTCTTTAGGAGCTGAAGTTCTGGAGAACCTAACTGTAAGCACTTTGGAGCAGTGAATTGCCTTCCTGAAGTGTAACAACCACCAATGGTAATGGCCCACCAGGGAGCCACCATTGGAGCATTACTACTGTACATTTAATAAATGATAAACAAAATACATCTTAGGGGAATACAGATAATTTAAAGTTCCTGATGCTTACTACAGGGGATTCAGGATTATCTGTTTGGGTCCATTTTCAGATGTGTTGAAAGAACCATTTACATTTGCAGTCTAAAGAAGAGAGCCTTTTGCACCAATGAATGACAGTTCCTTTAATCATATTGTTCTCACTACAGTGCCTAAGTAAAAACCATTTCAGAAGCATTTCATAGTTTAAAGGTTTGCAGGTTTCTGATTCCTATACTAGTCTTAAAATTTCCCACTCTTTCTAGCATTTCCAGTGACCCACAGGAAAGATTAAATATATGTACACAGAGAAACTTGTAGTGTGTTCTGTGGATTTATTTTGAACCTGTTTGCCATCAATATTTTCTGTACTAATATTCCCACCTGGAACAGCAATGCTAGCAAATGTTACTTTTTATTAAAACACCTATAAAAGCTGTCAGATTTTCTTTTTGTGAGTGATGCACATACATGTAAAAAGCACAGTCACTGCCCAACATGTTGGCAGTCTAAATAAAAAAGAAGCAAACCAGAAGGGGTGGAGAAGAGGGGACATATGTGTCTGGTTTTAGATGAGACACAATAGATGGGTTTGGTATATTTTTTCAGGATTAGATTAGTGGTTGCATTTGTTGGTGGTCGTTGTCTTCTACAGGTTTGTAGCTTTGATCTGAGATGTGCCTTTGTTTAGAACCAGCATCCACAAAGCAGTGAGATGTCCAGACAAAAAGGAATTTCATCTAGTCCTTCTTTTGAGGAAAACATAACAAGAAAAAAGTAGAGTATAGGTATGCAGAGATCTTGTGCTGAATGCCAGTTAGGAACATCATACTCTTAACATGGAATTGTGGGATATAAGCAGGATGATGGCTGCAAGATGTGAAAACTCTGGTAAGAGCAAGTAAACCTTTAGCTAGAGTGTCTGGTTCTCAATACTGCAGGTCAGAAAGGGTGAGAGAGTCCAGGAGATCCAAAGGGAAGTGTTGAGAATCCTCACACACTAGGAAAAAAACAAAAAAAAAAAAAAAGGAAAAAAGGTCAGGATAGGCAAATCTTGGATTTTTTTGGAAAGGAGAATGATTTGACATGTGACACGTCTTCAGGGAAGTAAATATTTACTATATAATGGAAAGGAACAAAGTTTTCTATTTCCATTGTGAGTGGGGAAGAAAATACTAAGTAGTAGCAGAGGACATCTAAATCAATAATTAAGAAGGGTTTTCCTTTCTAAAATTAGGGGTAATCAAGGGCTGGAATAGATGGCTAAGGGTGGTTGTAGAGTCCTGAGCATTAACAGTCATTTTTAAAAGAGCAATTTGAAGTGATACTGTTGATTGAGCCTTGGAAGAGGAAAGGATTCGTGTCTTCACATTGTTTCCTTCTGAATCTTTTTTCTAGATGTCTTTTAAAAAAATGTGCTAAAGTAATGCAGGAATATCCTGGAAAAACAGCAAAGATTTACACTGTGGCTTTGCAAAAATGTATTGGTTTACATCCACTCCTATTTTCCTTCTCATTTGAAATATTTTGATAGTTTAGGTAATATAAAATCTATTGTGAGTTGAACTGTTGAACTGTGCATTATCCCTGATTTTTTTTGTAAGTTTATTAGAAAGATCATACATATAAAAAGAAACTGGTATTAAAAAAAAAAAAGCCTGCATTCAGGCAACTATTGTGTTTTGTAATTTCTCCAATAGTTCAAAAACATCTTTGATGTTTTTTATATCTTAAACTGAAACAATATCACTTTGGTGGCAGCCCAGATGATCATATGTGAGTTATAGATTTATAAATATGAAAATAATTTGAGATTTCAGAAAAGCAGTGCATTTATTTTACGTGGCAAAGTTATTACAATCCAAATCTGTTGTTGGCTGGAAAAGCTAACAAAGGCTGAAAAATGCATACGAATAAAACACGTTATCCATCTGGTGTTGTTTATGTCTTGCAACTGTATTGTACTGGTCATCAGTTAGTCCACATGATCTGCATATGATTGTTCTTGGGTTTTTGTTTGTCTTGATTTATAGATGACTTTGATGAGCTTGTGGTGAGTAACAATGATGTTGTGCTCAGAAATATCGCTGAAGATTTGCGGAATCGTTTACCCATCGAGGCAATGTTTACTTCGGAACATCAGGCTGTTCAGAAAGTAAGCTAATTGTTATGGTCTCCTTTTGCTGAACCACATAATTTATTCTGATAGCATTTTTAGCAGTAGTTCATAATAGAGAATGAACATGGATTGAAGTATAGGAAATCTCAATTTGGTTCTCAGGTCTGTTGCTTTATAGTTTCATGACTACAAGAAAGTTGCTTTGTAGTTTTAAATACTTTGATCATATGTTATTTGGGATAGCTTTCATTCTGTGTGGTATGGCACCTGTCACAGTGATTCTTCAATGCTAGCTCCATAATAGACTCTGACAGCCCCCTTAAAGACAACAGGAGCGCAGCACCAGTATTTTGCTGTTGCCATAACGTGGGCAGCCCGGAGATGATATCCAGCTCTTTTCAGATTCTCGTGGCTCAGAAGCAGGTGGGCTGTGTGTCCTGTGGGAGGAGAGTGCACCTTTCCTACTTGACCTGTCAGTATACAAGGAAAGTTAATGTATATCCCAGAAAAGTGGTGTGTGGCTCTTCAGTGGGAAAAGTGGATTGGCCACATGCAGCAAGCCTGGAAAAGGGAGGAAAGATGAGTAGGAGGATGAAGATTATGCCCCTTGCGATTATGAGAAGGCAAACATCCCAACTGGTATACTTTTGATTGAAAGTGACACTCATGTTAATCAGGGATGCTTCTAGATAGAGGCATAAGGCACAATGATGAAAATAGTCAGTTGAGGCTGAGAAGCAGAATTGACCTTTCTGCTAAATTTAAGTTACATTCTGCTCATTAAAAGAAGAGGAAAAAGCTTTCTTTACCCTGTATGTTCTCTATAGCCAAGCAAGCGCTAAAGAGACAAAATTCACATGGGGCCCCCCTACTCAGGTATCAAAACCAGCTTGCTCTTGTTTGTCAACTACCACTTACTGGTTATCTCAATGGAATTTGATGACCCAGTTTACATGCAGGATTTCTTTTGTTTAAATTTTTTTGTAATTGTTGCATAGGGAAAAACATGGATCACAGGGATTTTGAGAAAGGTAGGATGGTGGAACAGTTAATGTTTGACAGTGTAAGTGAAGTTAAGAGACTTGGTTATGCCTTTCTAAGGTTTTGTTCGTCTTCTCAGATACAGCAGCATCCACTGCCCATGATTCATGTTGATGCATTCCTTTATGATGATGATGTTGTTGATTCATTGTGTGAGGAGGGGAAAATGAGTAGGAGCTACTGCACAGAGTGTGGCTCATACAAAACTGCATCTTTAGGTAAGTGTTCTTTCAGGAACAAGAGAAACAAATTTAGTTTAACTAAACTGGTTTGTGCAGTGACTCAGCTGGACATGACAACATCCAGCTGATGGGGGACTTTGTCCAGACTGCTGCAATATACAGGCCAGAATTATTTCCCATAACCAATGGAAGGAGCCTCCAGCAAATGTAAGTTGAACTAATTTGCAGTGTATGAGTGACAGTTGTTGCCCACAAAAACTGGGCAGGTAAGAGGCAGGCTGTGTATCACTGGAGAGGAAGATGCAAGAGGAAGACAATACTGTAGAGTCCGTGCAGTAGCCTGGGTCTCCTCTCACATGCTGAAAAGCAGTAGAAAGCACCATCTGTCTTAAAGCTTGTGTGTGGTATGGTACAGATCAGAGCTGTTGCCAGTAGAGCACAGCCATTGAAGGAATGGTTTATATGGAGAACGTTCCATTCATGGAAACTCTGGAGTTGAAATTAAAGCTATTACTATGTCTGCCCATAAAAAGTTTTGCACAAATTTTATTTACTATGTTTCCTTTTTCAGTTAAACAGTTCCAAGTTGCTTTGTTTTGCATTTTTTAACATACGTTACTGTGCACAAAAAGGTAATTCAGTTTCATGAAGGATTTCAAAATTCTCCATGTAAGGCAAGGAATCCTCAGACTTGGGACAGGTTGCTTACCTCTGATCTGAAAACCCTGCTCTAATGCACTAATGCAGACAAGAAACCACACAAGTTTTCAGTGAGGATAAATTTTCAGGTTATTATTTCAATGGTTAATTACACAGTAGTTAGTACTGCCCACCCAACACCTTTGTTCTGTTCTTATTTCCCAGAGTTTATTTCGCATTCCTTTTCCCTCATGGAACTGAAGTTTCTTTATCAACATGTACTGCCTGACCTGACAGGAAAGGTAGTGGTTGACGTTGGCTCCAGGCTTGGTGCAGTGCTATTTGCGGTAACTTCCAGCACAGGAATTAATATTTTATTACCTTGACAAACATCTTCCCTCTTTTCTGACTGCCTACTCTCATTACTCAATATTGGATGGGTCATTCTGAGAGGCACCTCTGATCTGACTCTCTGAATAGTGTAAAGTGCTATTTACTAGCACTTTCAGTTCTTCCTCTGTTCCTCACAAGAGGGAATACAGATGATCTTGCTTATGGAGAGGAAAAGTCTGTTGTCCAACAGAATAGCATATTGCTGTCACACATGCTGCTCTTTTGCTTGTTCCTGATGTCTCTTTCATAAATAAGTTTGTCCTCTTATGTCTTGACCATGCCTATATATAGATTAGTTATGTTAAATTCCTTTATGAAGCTGATAAACTGTTAAAATATACAAAGGAAGACTTTGATATGAATGTGTCTCCAAAAACATATTGTCCTGCTCTGCATTTTAAAATGCACAGAAAATACTTCATCGAGAAACTTGAGTGCAATTTTGATTGCTTTTGGCATGGCTGGTACAACATATGGCCAACAGCAATGCAAAACACACACTACTACTTTCTTAAAAAAGTCAATGTGTGTTTAGGGCTCAATCTTGCAAACACTTGAGCATGTGATTTTACTCATTTGAATAGTCTAATTTTGGGATCACTCAAATGAGGAAAGTTACTCCCATTTGTAAATATTTGCAGCATTGGGTCCTTAAATGGTAACAGTTTGGCTAGGCTGAGTTTGTTTTGAAGTATTTAAATGCTTGTATTATTATAGTAGAAGACACTCTCAAAGCACTCTTTCAAAAAAGAGTTCTGCTTTGTAACATGGTCTTGCCTTGGAGGAGGGGTGACTTCACAGGTTGCTTTTCTAGTGTCTGAGTTGAATGGTTTCAGAAAACCTTAATAATGAAGTTGTAATACTAGTGCATCTCAGATATTCTATATCTTCAGCGTTGTTTGTCTTTGCCATTGTTGGTAAAGTGTAATTATTGTGCTCAATGGAGATAGTGGCACTTAAAGCAATATCTTTGTTAGGGCACTGTACGCTCAAGTATTTGTACTTTTTTTCTCTAACATTTCCAACAGCTTCCCAAAATCTTAGTCCAAAATGGAACTGTTTTTTTGGGCTTAATATTAAGTCATAATTTAGCTTTTTTTTTCAATATGTACCTGTATGAAACATCTGAAAATGTCAGTAATACAGTAACTTAGAGGAGCTGACAAAGACTTGATATCAAAATATCCCACTATATTATTGTTATATTGTCCTCCATTTTCACTCATTTTGACTCTGTTATGTCTCATATTTTTGTTATTTTTTCCTTGATATTTTCTTCTTCAATTCTCCCAAGAAACAAAAATGACATGTAGAGTCTTTTTCCTTCACACTATTTTTGTAACTTGTTTTATACACCTTTTACCTTTCTTAGACTATTTTCCATCTGTTTTGCAGTTGAAGTGAACTTGGAGCTTTCCTTTTCTTCTTGCTATTTTGATGTGCCATTTTGGATCTCTTACTAAAATTTTTGAGGCTTAAGAGGGAATTGCCAAATCAGGAGCTTAGCTACGAAAAATATTTCACATCCACTGAAAGACATTTCTCAACTCGCTATTTTAAATAGTTTCTTTAATCTTAACTCGTGTTTAAGTCGCTTCTTTTTAAATGAAAGTTTTGAACTTGTTTTAAAGGCACCACAGTTACTAAATTTCCTTTTCCTAATGTAGGGTTATCTTTATAGCTCAGCTTCCCAGCTGTATGGAGTAGAAATGAATGCAGACTTTTGCCAGTTGCAAGAAATGATGATTACAAAGTATGAGTTCATTGACAGAATAAAGGTAACTAAATACATGTTTTAGTTTATGTATTTTTAACCACTGTGTACAAGGTATCTGGTTTAAGTGAGTGTCTGGTAAATCAGCATTCTGAGAAGTTTCTACCTTTGCTTGTTTTGATCCTAAACAAAGGCTTTGCATTAGGAAAAAAAGACCTTATAGCACAGAGAAAGAGGGAAATTATCGAAATATTAATCACTTTGCCTTTTTTCTAACTAGACTTACCCACTGGCTCACACAAAACAGATAAATCTTAGCAGGTTCACCCAGTGAAATCAATTACATCATTGCCACTCCTATGAAACTGAGTGTATAAAGAATTTCTGTCACAAACACAAAAGTAAATGTCCGTGATTCACTTCTGTTAGCAGAAAAATGTTTGTAGGATTTGCAAATTTGCATCTAAGAATACCTAAAAGACTTAGAATTATCCATATTTCCTTTCATAGAATGTCAGTGTATGTGTACCTTCCACAAACAAAATGGATATCAAACAAAGTGCTATCAGTATGGGAATCATTTCCCTAGTTTCATTATGGGAACAGCTACTAATATTTTAAAAGAGGAAAAAATAATCCTTTCTGGACCAGACCCATTATTTTGTTACCAGCAAGAGTTGGTATGTAGAATATGCTCAGTATAGTACTGGCTTTAAGCCTGTGTTGTATGCACGTGCTCCTGAATAGAGTCACACTAACTGCTAAGTATGGTAATTTCTTGGGTATTAAGGTAACCCAATTTTAACCTAGAAAGAATAAACATATTTAACACAGTGTAAGCAATATCATTGGGTTGCTCAATTCAGTTGCAGATCCATAATCTTTGGGTTTTGCATATGTTTTGTGTTTATAACACTTTATTGTGATAAAAGTGAAAGTGCAGTTAGGAACTCTCTCAAGTTAATTCAGTGGAGCTGGAGATCTATAAGCATGCTTTTCAGCACTGTATATTTTTTATTATGAGCTTTTATGTATTTTCTTCACACCTTGTAATTCTGCTGAAGTATTCATTTTGGAGCATAAAGATAAGATAATAGGTTTTCAAAGCAGTGCCAGAGGACTTAGCTATTTGAGTCTCATTAAATGCTAATTTAGTCATGTGACTTCTGTTATCACACTGCTTTGAACATTTCAATCTTTTATTTTTATTTCACCCCCAGATGACTTCTCTCTCATAGAGGTACATATCAGGTTGAAAAATTATGAGAGTCCAGATGCTGGTCATAATTCATGACACAAGTTTGAAAAACGTTTTAGCAACTCTTCTTAAATAGACTGGTTTTTTCAAGATAATTCTGATTTTTTTATCAGAATATGTTCCTAAAGGATAGCAAAGTGAAATGGTATCTTTAGTGGCTAAATCTCTGAGTGAACCTTGTTTCTCTGGTCAACACTTGGTTTGTTAAAGTACATAGAAGGTTGCTCAGCATCTTTTGCCATTTGAGGAAACATTTAGCTACTGGAGGAAAGTAAGCAGTTCAACAGATCTTAGGAAACTCAAGACCTCAATTCAGAAATTGTCTGTAGTCATGAAAGGCTTGGTGTTTATTCCATTGGATGACAGGGCAGTTTTAAAATCACTTGCTGCCTCCTCTGTTCTACTGGCACACAGCCAAGCAGATCAGAGAACTAGTTCAGCTGAAACCAAACCTAGCAATATTGGGATTTTGACTAGAACAGTATCTGGGTCTGGCTCATTGTGCAGCCATACATGCTTATGTGGTCCCAAGTCCCCCAAGAGGAATGAGGATATGTTTGAGGAGAATGAGGATATGTTTGAGGAGAATGAGGTGCTTAGGTCACTTTGGTCAGTATGGTCACCTACTCGTAAATGCAGAGTAATTTTAGGTCAAGTCTTTAGTATCATTCATGTCAAGAAAACATCAACTTATGTTCAAAGCTTCCAGTAGTTTAAGCGTCTTTCTGAATTGTGGTTTAAATTATTAGGACTGCCATTAGTATCCTATCCTATGCATGGGATTATTCTTTCCCAGGTGTAGGACCCTGCATTTGCCTTTGCTGAATTTTAGAAGGTTCCTCTCTGCCCATCCCTCCATAGCCACTCCTTCCAGCTTCCTGTCTTCAGTGAACTTGCTGAGGAGGCATCTCCCCTTCACCCAAGTCATTTGTGGATAAATTAAATGATACTGGACCCACAATTGAGCCTTGGGGGCACCAGTAGTGACAGGCCTCCAACTAGACCCTGTGCCACTGTTTATGACCCTCTGGGATCTGCCATTGAGTCAATTCTCAGTCCTCACTCATCCAGCCCTCACACCCTGAGCTTGCCTGTGAGGATGTTGTGAGAAACAGAGCTGAGAGCCTTGCTGAAGTCAAGTTGACAAAGTCCCCTGATCTCCCCTCATCCATGCAGGTAGTTGGTTCATCACAGAAGTCAATCAGGTTGGTCAAACATGATTTACCTTTAGTGAATCCTTACTGACTACTACTTATCCCTTCAAAAGATATTCCAATTTACATTTCTCATCAGATTTGGGATGCATCATAATAGAATATCCTGAGTTGAAAAGGACCCACATGGATCACTGAGTCAGAATGTCTGTCTTTAAGAAGAAATCAAACACATCAGAGTGTTAATGAGCATCCATGTTCTCCTGTCTCACTTGTTTTGAAAAATGACACGAAGTGCTAATATCCTTTTTATAGGTGAAGGTAGATGAAATCAAAATAGCTCCTCTTGTGCTGACTGAAGAGGCAGTTGTTTAGTAGTATCCTTCAGTGCTACTGAGCATCCTGTCTTTCCAACATTCCCAGTCTCAATATGCATTGTGAGAATTCAGCTGTCAAAGCTGGGTTTGTAGTGTCTTTTCTAGCTATAATCCTTCAGTAACCCACTGACCCGGTGAGATGCCTTTTGTTATCCTCAAAATAGCTTCAACTAGCTTAACTTCTTTCTTGAAATCACTGGATATTTGTGATAAAATATAGGGAAATGCAACACCCATCACATACATTATCTCAGCTTTTATGGCATACAGTTCTAAATCAAAATTCAGATGTACTTTATTTTACTGAGCATAATGGATGGAGTATTTTAATTAGAAGAGTTAAATCTGATTTTTTTTTTTAATTTTTGAAAGGTTATTATGGTTGTTTATGTCAGTTTTATCTACTGTGAAGCCAGTGGAATGACTGTTTTTGTGACTGGTTCAAAAGGGTGGTAGCAGCTGCTGTATTAGGCTGACAGGCTTCATGACTTCTCAAAGGCTGTATTTGTCTCTTAATTTATGCCTTGGGAAATTTTTCTCCTTCAGGTGGTTCATGCAGACATCTGTACTCAGCCCTCACTTCTGCAGAAGGCTGATGTTGTTGTAATGAATAATGTCTTTGAATATTTTCTTGACAGACAGGAACAGGCCAGGTAAGCTCTGTGTCCAAACAAGTTCCGTATTTCTTTGGCAGTATATGTGTAACCTTGTGAATAATGGAAAACCTTAAGGTTGTGTTTTTTGAAGGCACATACATAATTTATATAAGGAAATTGTTTCATACTGCCTACTTCTAATTGTTATACTTAACTGCTAAGGTGTTCTGGCAGTTGTTTGTTGTTAAACCCACTAAACACTGTTGCTTTGTTTACCCAAACCTTGGCTTGAATCCTTGCACTGATATGTTAAAATAGTATCTTGCTGCTAAAGAATCTGAAATTACTGTATCAGCATAGAACGTAATCTTCAAAAGTAAAAGTCACTGACTCAGTGATGTCAGAGCTTTAATATATACAGACTACAAAGCATGGTTATGAATGATATTTCTAACAGATATTCGTAAGGATGTGGTAGCAAACAAACATGTGGCTAAGGTTCTCTTTCAGGTACAAGGCACTCACAGATGAGCTTTTGTTAATCCAGCAGCATCCATTTAGAGTGTAAATAACTCATCATCCTAAATTTAGAATAGGCAGTCAGAAAAAAAGGACTGTCTGTGTCTCCACTTGGTCCCAGCCAAGTCTGTCATTCTGTACCAGCTTCAGCTAAGGCTTGCCCTGCTGCCCTGGATACCAGGTTATAATACCAACCAGAAAGGCACAGAATGATAGTAGGTGTTTCAAAATGCCAGGAAATATAGTTCCAGGCACGGGACTGAGAATTCACTTGATTGTGACATAACTTGGGAATAGTGGTTTAGTGTTTCATTAGTAACATGAAGACAAATGACGTTTGAAGAACGCTGGAAATTAGTCTTTTTAGTCTGAATTGCTGTGCTGTGAGAAATTATCTTAATTGCAAAATCAAAATTAAAAAAAAAAGGTAGATGCTGGGGGCTATGTTTAAATACTCTGATTACTGTCTTAAGAGAAGTACTTTGTCACAACTGTACACAAAGTATGTATGTAAAGAGCAGTTTGTTGTTTAGCTTAATAAAGGACTGCACTTCAGGACTGGATTTTCTTCAAACCAAAGAGGCTAAATGTCAATGTTTAATCCTTGTTCAAAGTGAAAGTCTGGACCAAATGATATGCATGTATGTATGAGAATTATAAAGTTACAAAATGTAACATTGTAAGACCATGTATTCCCTGTATTTTTAATACAAAGCTTGGTTTTATTCCTGCAAATACATTTGCTTAGATATTAATAATGACTGATAAGCATGTATTGCAAGTCTTTAAGCTTAGTCTACCTTTGGCCAATAAAGTGCAAGTGTTAGATTCATTGTATATCAAATATGTGTGTTTTTTCTCAAAAAAACTGGTCACCTATCTTTAAATATGTTTCAGAGCTTGGGAATTTATTGCTTGTAATGTAAGGAAAAGAGGGTCCTTATTAGTGACAGTTCCAAGTCTTGAGGAATCACTTTCAAAGCTCCAGGTAAGTTCCCTCAGCCTGTTTTAGCTGACACACTTGGTTATATTCTGTCAAAGAGACATTTCTGTAGTTGAAGGTAGCTGCTTGCCAGTATTGCTGTAAGGAAGGATATTTAATTTTGTGCAAAGATTCAAAGGTGGAAGACTCAGGATTCTGTTTTGAGGTTCACTACCAGCATATCTTCCTGTATTTCGATTGTCCTCGTGTGAAAAGGAAAATCCCAGCCTGTATCAGTAGGCTGCATGAATCATTGTATTAACATGTGTATTAATATGGCAGTATGAGCTTTTGGAGGTACAGATTAGTAAGAGATGTGGTCTCCCATCTAGCCAAGTGACTACCATCAGGCATCTTGAATCATTGCATGGCTTTAAATTGCAGTTGGAAGCAAACATATTTCATGTCTCTATGAAGGCAGTGCATCTTTCAAAGATGTTGAATGCTCTGTGCTGCTCCTGATAGGCCATGCTCTACTCTGTCCCTTCTGCTATGGGTCATCAGCAGATCATATGTGTGATACCTGGTCAAATTATGTGGCCTAGCTTTAGTTAGGAAACAAAACACTGATCAGACATGACAAGGTTATGTATAAAGTGATTTTTTTCTCACAACAGTAGTTAGTTTTAGAGAAATTGAATCACTTGTTTTCTGTATTCTGATGGATGAAGTAGATCCTCAGCCCCAAGACAAGCAGTGGTGTCATTTGAACTTTTCTTGGAGCAGGCTGTAGTCACAGAGCAGCTGAGAAGCCCTTTGTAGCCTTACTACAATACTCCCTGGGTGTAAAACAAGAAAATACCTGTGATTCTTCCATGATACTGTTAGCTGCTCCCTCAGCACATCTGTCAGAACATCACCCTTTGAATTAGGATGCTTGAGGCGTACACAAATGCATAAAGAAAGGTGGTTGTCATATGCTAACAAAATATCTAGACTATTGACTGAGATAATTTTTAAAGTTATCTTTATTATCTCCTATTTGAGTTAAAATGGCTTTTCCAGAAATTAATTTATCATTGTCACATAATCTGGAATGACTAATCTCTCATATTATGTCTTGCCTTCTTAATGTTGAAACTCCTTAACCTTGAAACTCCTGCTGTTTCATAACATGGTGTTGACTTAAGGATCTGCTTTCATTGTTTCAGGCAGATGTACAGCTCAGTCAATGGGTTGAAGAGGTGCGGCTGAACTATGATGTTTATATGGAAAAGGATATTGACAGAGAAGCGCTGGAACAGATACATTTATACAAGATTCTCTAGTACATGGAAAAATTTACTAGTATCCTTATGATATATATTTTGGGCCTAAAATGAACTTGGATTGATTTATATGAATAAATCAGGTCAAAATTTATAATGTGGTTAATTTGAGTCATATATATGGTTTTTAATGAAACAGAATATTTGGAAACAGATTTTCTTACTGACATATTTTGTCTCAATGGGATATTTTGACTTTTTACTAGGAGATATCCTCATGGTTTATTTTTTGTAGAAATCTTTAAAAAAGCATCTACATAGTAATGCTAAAAGAACTTTTGGTCAGTAGCATTGTGCACTCACAATGTTTGCTAAATATATCAAACCTAAGAATAGTGAATCCTTATTGATGTGAATTATAAGAATGCATTTAGTGTAATGTTACATAAAAGCTGTAATGCTGTTTCATTTTGGTATAAACCATTTATTCTTATCAGCAATAATATTTATTAACAGTATTATCTTTGGTGTTCCTCCTATGGAATTTTTAGGTTTTCTTTCCAGGGTCTGCTTGATAACCAGATTATCTACTGGCATAAGTTATAAGGGAGGCAAGTTCATCCATTTAGTTAGTTGTCCTTAAGGTGGGTATTAATACAAAATACTGAAGGACACCGAGGAGCCATGGAGAATTAATACAGCAAATCCAGGATGATGGAACTCTTCCTGCACTTCTTCTGTGGATGGTAGGAAGCGTAATAAGGGGTTAAGAAGCTGAAAATTCTGAACAGGTGTCATGGCTTAGCAGAGGCTTGGTGGTGGCGTAAAACAGTGAAAATTCGTAACAGAGCCTCCTCAGAGAGAAAAGATCCACATACGCCCACCACATTTATATTTAGCTTTTACGTTCTAAGGATGTAAAGCTTTTAGTCAGCCGAAGAATGTTTTGGGCTTTAGCAAATATTAACAATCCCAAGTGCAAAAACAATAACTTCAGGAGTTTTGGGCTAAGCGTGTTGTGAATTTAGAAGCATTGTTAAAAAGTTTGCTGCACAAGTTATGTCTAGTGTAAATGGGAAAACATTACATTGGATTTCAATCTTCATGTTTTGTACAAGTCAGTGACTTCAATAATACGTGCTGTAAGCAAAAGGTATCAGTAGCCTTTAGGGACTCACCAACTCAGTAAATAAATGGGACTGTAGAAAGGATAGTAAGTTTTAAGAAATCTTACTTTCATGTCCTGTTCAGAGTGGAAGAGGATGTCTTGAGTGATACTGAACCACTGCTCAAATACTGTGGTGAATCTATTCTTCATGCATTAAAAAATGTAAAAAGATTAAAAGCTTTTCTTAAAACATTTGTTTTATTGGTTATTTAATTGTCAGTGAGACAAGTGCCCTTAGAAAAGAAGCCTAGGAGAGGCTAAGCAACAGGGTGGAGGGGTAATGCAAGGCTAACAGATCTAATAAGGAGAGAATAAAGTTGAGAAAATAAATGCATGCACAGTTCAGAATGAGGAAATGAGCACTGTAGTAATCAGTACAGTGGAAGCTGTGACTGAATTGGAGTATATAAATAGGCTGTTATAAAACAAAAACTGAATGGGTCATAAAAAGCTGCTTCATAACCCTACTACCATGTGAGAAGAAAACGCCATGTTGAAATGCTTTTTTACTTTTTTCCAGAGTCCTGAAAGATCTCCCAAATCAATTGTCAGGACTTGGGGCTCATGGTATTTGGTATGATCTGTGCCCTGCACCTTGTTTTGGTAATATGGGAACTACAACTTTCATTGCAGTTGTTTCCCCTCTTCATGCTGAGTCTTCAAATAGTTTTTTTGGGTGTTGATCTCAGATTAGAAAAAATTCAATAGACTGGAGCAGATCACCAGCATATTTAATGACATCTGTATCCTCTGACTGAAAATAGCATGCGCGCATCTGGAGCTCATATGCAGCAGAGGGTGCAAAAGGGAAGCTCCCCCTGTCTTTTTTAGACATCAGGAGGAACTCGAGAGGTGAGCTCAAGCTGCTGAAATGTGTGTTTTCCTCTCCTGCCCTTGATGGGTCCTTGGTTAAAACCCTTACATTGACACGTTCACTGAGAAGAGGTGGTGGTAATTGTTTGACAAGTTTTATCAAACTCAACATTAAGAGATGTAACTCCTCTGTCCTTTTAGAAGCCTCTTTCTAACTTGACTTCATAGGACCAGAGGTCACAGGGCTATTCTTTAGCATGTTATGAGCTGCCTAAATCACCTGCTGAAGAGCTAGAAACAACTCATGTATCAAGAAGGTAGTAATTGTCTCTTTTCCAGCTGGCCTTTTTCAGTCCCATTATACATTCCCACACACAAGGGTAGCAAAGGTAAATTGTGATGTATTTTGCAAAACCTCGTGTGAAATGGGGTTCATCAGTTCTCCCTGTGCAGGCTCGGAATACCTCAGATGTCAGCTGAAATCCTCCCAAGAGTGTGTGTATTGCCTCAACTAAGGTTTTGCTTGTTCAGCTTGAGGAAGCTGCCGGAGTATATTCAGCATGTTGAGTCCTTGTTCTTAGTTCTGCTACTGCTGAATTGCATGGTATTTGGCCAGTGATTAAACTTTTCTCTTCCTTGGTGTCTACAGTGAAAATGAGAACAACAAATCCAAAATCAGAGCAAGGTTGTGAATTAATCAAATATCAATTGCTTTGAGATTGTCATATAAAAAATGTTAAACAATGGAGCTTTTCTTTCTTAGGTAAAGTGACCTAATTTAAAAGACCTGAAAGGCAAAGATAATACCAGTACCTCTCCGAGATACTTTCTGGCTCTTTCCTTCACCAGACAGTATTAAAAAGGAAGCACAGATTAACCACAGTACAATGCTGAAAATGCATAAATAATTGTTTCCTAGTGCTCTCAGTTTTTACACTGCCCTTGCTGTTAGCTGGCCCCTGGTGTTGGGAGGAAGGGAGAGGGGAGTATCTGGCACCCAGATTGTTGGGCCTGCGTGCAGGGCAGCCCTGTGACAGCTGCTGGAGATGTCACGGTGGCTGCCACAAGCTGCCAGCCCGAGCTGCTCGCTGCCCTGCACAGCTCTGGGGCTGCACAGCTGCTGTGTGCTGCCACTGCCTGCCACTGTCAGGCCACAGCTCTCTGTGGCCTGACAGAGGTCCCATCCCCAGCTACAGCAGCAGTACACTGTGGTCATGAACACTCTGTAAATCACAAAATTTAAGTTTTGTAGGCCTGAATTAGAAAAAATTAATGAGGGAAATGCATATTTGAAGCGCTTATAATTGCCAGGAGTTCCTGTCACACATGGAAAGCAGCTCTGCTATTCCCTAGTAGTAGAACATCCCGTGCATTGCCCTGGTTTCTGCAGAAAGAGCCATCTGAAATTTGAACCCATCAAGAACTAGTAGTAAAAGAAGTACTCTGTAGTAGTAAAAGAAGAGTTAAAAAAAAAAAATACTCTGAATCCACTGTACTAGCACAAAAAAATGTCAAGGTATAAGAATGATAGATTCACTTTGCAGACAGGAAACATTGCAAATATCTTGAGACTTTTAAAAAAATCACCAAATGCCTAGTGAGAACAGGCTGGCTCTCAAAGGTGTGTCATTTTCCATGTGCCTTTTTTCACAGAAAGGAATACTGGAAGGGGCTAATGGCCCATGCTTAGGAAAACTTGACAGTGCAGTAAGCTTGAAAAACCCCAAATCCACCTCATTCATTCGTCACCATCTGTATTTCACCTCTCTTTCCTAGGTTTCTCCTGTTTCTCATCTCTTCTCAACTGTCTTTTCTCTCCCTGCAGCTAATGCCAGGACCAGCCCATGGTGCAGCAGGAGCTGTGTCTGAGTGTGGCTGCAGCATGCACATTTTCTCTGTTACTGGAAGACAATAATAGAAAATGTGACCTGTAACTTCAGCTGAGCAACTTCTAGGGTTTGCTGCAAGCTGGAATAATGAGAGAAAGATTTTTAAGGGGTTGCTTTGTACTCTCCAGGAATTCCTGGTGGGGACTCCAGTGAAAAGAACAGACCTTGCTCCATCTCATCTCTGAGGTCTCACAACAGACTCAGGCTCTGGCTGCCCACTGCCCACCCTTGGTAAAGCAGGAGTTGACACGTACAATGCCAGTACTCTTTGCCAGCATTTTAACAAGCGGCCTCTCATATGGCCTTGGGCTGTCACAAGCCGTCCTCAGTAGAGGGAGTTGTATTTGTAGAAATAAGTGGGAGAAGAAGGCAGTGTTGCTTTTCCAACAAATGCATGTTTAATGCTCCTGGAAATGACTATACTTCCGCTCATTTCTTATGTGAGAGCAGATTATTGTGGCACAGTGTTTTGGGAAAGGAAGAGAGATGGAACATCATGCTCAAGTGCACATGTTTTTCAAATTCCTTTGCAGAAACGCTGTGCAGCTTGTATCTCTTAAAAAATTGACATGTTTGTGTCACCCTAGGGGTGAGTCTTTTCCAACAGGAACAAGGTAGCAGTATGCTTGAAGGCTTAGAACTGATCACCTCCAGTGTCACTTGTAGCTTGTAATGTAGGAGTTCTCTTTGTGAACACATGCTGGAGTCATTCCCCATCCAGCAAAGAGATATTGAAACCCCAAACCCAGAAGTTCACTATTAGTTGTAAGTCTTTTCTACTAAGCGTTTGCTTCCCCCCCTTTTTTTTTCTTTTGCTGCATGATCTGTGTGATGTCCCAGCTCTTCCCATAGTTGTGGTACTACTTTACCTGGAGACCCTGTCTTGGGGATTTTTGCATTCATGTTTCTCTAGAGACTCCTCTCCTTCCACTTGGTGGGACGGGAGAAGAAAATAGTTTTCATTCTTCATCACAGGGTGCACCAGAGGTCCAGGTTCTTCTGATCTGCCTCTCTGTGAAAATGGTCAGAAAATGGCCATGATTGCTTATTTTCCATCACCTGGCTCAAGCCCCACCAAACACCTTTGAGCCAGGTGGGGGAGAGGGAAGGTTCTGCGTCTTTGCTCAGCTGTGCTTCCCAGGGTTTACCCAAGCAGGGAAGGCAGCCAGCCAAAACTATCAGCCTGAGCTGGAAATAGCAAGGGTGGGC